CTGGCTAGTTTTTTGTATTTTTTTTTAGTAGAAACGGGGTTTCACCATGTTAGCCAGGATGGTCTCGATCTCCTGACCTCGTGATCTGCCCGTCTCAGCCTCCCAAAGTGCTGGGATTACAGGCTTGAGCCACCGCGCCCGGCCTATATACATTTCAATTTAACATTTACAAGAACTCTATAAAGTAGGTATTAGGAGATATTCCTCCATGTGTCTCCCTGCTGTGACTCCAAAATGACCAGTGTGCCCACTCATATTTACTTCCAATCCATCTCGGCAAGTCCTGCCTTCACATCTTGCTGAGCTGGCAAAAATCGCAAGTCCCTGCCTTCAACAAATTCTCAGACTTGATCCTATTCACATACCTAGAGTCTCCTGAATGAAGGGGAGGCTGGGTCCCCTTGATGAAGGACTGTTCTACACTGACAAAAACATGCTGTAAACCTTCTAGCATTTTCCAAGTGTACCTGCAGCCATTTAGTAAGCACATTAGATTGGAATGTATACACAGTGCTTAACTCAGTACATGGCATATCATGAAAGCTCAGTCACGTGTCTATTAATACTGCAGTGGGCCAAAGAATAAACAAGTGGGTTCAGTGAATGTAGACTACTGCTACTGTGGGCATCAGAGAAGGGGAAGTAACTAGAGTGTCCAGAGATTTGTGGACATTGGACCTAAACTAATTTAATTCTAGGAGATTCAAAATGTAGTTTACCAGGTACAGTGGACTCATGGGATCAGGTTTGTGCAGGAATGGGTTAACTCAGGAGGTGTAGGTTGTTCAAACCCTGCACATTCCAAAGAAAGCTCATCTTCAGAATGGGCATTTGGTCTGCTCCTGGGAAATAACTTCTGAGCCCGTGGAATATTTTATTTGATTAGTGTTTTTGTATGCCAGAGGTCTTGGGCCATGCCATCATGCTGTACCAGTCTGAACAAGTAAGTTTATCCTAAGTGTGATTTATAGTGAACCTTGTTTTTTGCTCTGGGGTCTGAGTAGTAGAGATCAGTAGTGTGGACATTCCAAGCTTATGTGACTGACCCCCAATAAAAACCCTGCACATGGCCAACGCAGTGGCTCACGCCTATAATCCCAGCACTTTGGGAGGCCGAGGTGGGTGGATCACCTGAGGTCAGGAGTTTGAGACCAGCCTGGCCAACATGGTGAAACCCCGTCTCTACTAAAAAATACAAAAAACTAGCCGGGCGAGGTGGCGGGCGCCTGTGGTCCCAGCTACTTGGGAGGCTGAGGCAGGAGAATGGCATGAACCCAGGAGGCTTGCAGTGAGCTGAGATCCGGCCACTGCACTCCAGCCTGGGTGACAGAGTGAGACTCTGTCTCAAAAAAAAAAAAAAAAAAAAAAAAAAAACAGCAGATGGCTGGGCATGGTGGCTCACACCTGTAATCCCAGAATTTTGGGAGGCCAAGGCAGGAGGATTGCTTGAGGCCAGGAGTTTGAGACTACCCTGGCCAACATAGCAAGAACCCATGTTATTGATTGATTGATTGATTGATTGATTGAAGGAGTATCACTCGTCGCTCAGGCTGGAGTGCAGTGGCGCGATCTTGGCTCACTGCAACCTCCACCTCCTGGGTTTTCAAGCAACTTTCCTGCCTCAGCCTCCCAAGTAGCTGGGATTATAGGCACTGCCACCATGCCCAGCTAATTTTTGTATTTTTGTAGAGACGGGGTTTCACTATGTTGGTCATGCTGGTCTCGAACTCCTGATGTCAGATGATCTGCCCACCTTGGCCTCCCAAAGTGCTGGGATTACAAGCGTGAGCCACCGCTCCCAGCCCAACCCCATCTTTAAAAAGGAAGAAAACAGCAGGAGCTTCTTGTTCCTCCCCTTTGATGCAACTCACTATGTGTCTAGCATCTATCTGGGTACATCTCACGTTGCCCCTGCAGGGGGGAGAAAGGAACCAATGCAGCCATGCTCATGCTGCCTGTTGTGCCCTGAACAGTAAGGTCTTTCGTCTCTGTTTTCTGACAGCATCCATGAACAGACCCATTTATTAACCTATAAGTAGGGCAGCCTCAAATTCCAGATCTGACAGTATGTATTGTTTTCCTTGACCAGATGAGGAAACAGGCACAGTGACATTAAATAGCTTGTTGACTGGGCACAGGGGTGCAGGCCTATAATCCCAGCACTTTGGGAGGCCGAGGTGGGTGGATCACCTGAAGTCAGGAGTTCAAGATCGGTCTGATCAACATAGTGATATCCCATCTCTACTAAATGCAAAAAATTAGCTGGGCATGGTGGCACATACCTGTAATCTCAACTACTTGGGAGGCTGAGGCAGGAGAATTGCTT